ATGTGATACCACTGTCTTTTAAAAGAGAAAGCTCCTTGTTGAGTTCTTCATTCGTTTCTGTGGAATAATCAATACAGAATCAAATGATTCTGTTTGTACAGCTCATTAGGATTAGGACTAATGTAATTAATTAGTTATTATTTCCTGTTTTTACTGTAATTAGAATTAGCATTTATGGGAAAATTAATTCCCCTGATTTCTAGGACAGATTTCCTTTTCAAACTCTGCCTTATGTATTCTATAAATACTGCTATGTAATTCTCATAAAATACAAGGAAATATAAAGTATATTTCTACATGGTATCAGAGCACGATCTGAACCATCCCTAACCTAGCGCCGCCAAATTATGGAGGATCCTAAATCTGATGAATCGCTCAAAGTGGATACTGGATCATTTCCGACCAGTTCACACAAAGGGATCACTCACCTCATCACAGGCCATAAATTAAATGGTCAAAACTATACCCAATGGGTAAGGTCAGTCAAGATCTTCCTCGAAGGAAAAGGAAGGGAAGGCTACACCACGGGAGATTCTAAATGTCCTGCGGAAGGAGACAAAAAATTTCAGAAATGGAAACTTGAGAACAACCAAGTAATGTCATGGCTGCTCAATACCATGAAAAATGAAATTGGTGAAAATTTCATGTTCTATGACACCGCAAAAGAGATATGGGATGCAGTGAAGGAAACGTACTCAAATGTTGACAATACATCTGTCGTATTTGAGATAAAAAGCATTCTTCATGACCTTCGACAAGGAGAATCTTCTGTTACCGAGTATTTTAACATACTTAACAAACACTGGCAGCAACTGGACATATATGAAGAGGTTACATGGTGTTGTACAGAAGATAAAAAGAAATATAAGGAATTGGTGGAAAAAGATAGGATTTACAAATTCCTATTGGGACTAAACAAGGACCTAGATGAAGTTCGTGGAAGGATCCTTGGAACCAAACCACTTCTCAAAATTCGAGAAGCCTTTTCAGAAGTGAGAAGGGAAGAAAGCAGAAGGAAAATCATGTTGGGGACACCCAACTCAGTTCCGTACAGCGAGAGCTCTGCAATGGCAGCAAGGGGGAATCAGCCTCGACCATCACAAAAGAAAAACCGCCCCTGGTGTGATCACTGCAAGAGACCAGGCCACACAAAGGAAACATGTTGGACCAAACATGAAAAACCTTCGGAGGCAAAATCGTTCAAAGGCAAGGAGGGTAGAGGTAACACAGCATTTAACAACCAAGAAGCTGAGGTATACTCTAACTCATCTCCTTTTAGCAAAGAACAAATGGAGGCTCTTCAAAAACTCCTTCAGCAAACTATGTTAACCGTAGAAAAAGGTGGTACTGTTGTAGTGGCTCAAAGAGGTAATTATTTACATGCTCTAAACACTAGTAAAGAAAAAACAAAATCATGGATTGTTGACTCAGGGGCCTCAGATCACATGACTGGAGATTTCACCCTGTTTAATAGTTATTCTCCATGTCCCTATAACTATAATGTTCGAATAGCCGATGGTACACATTCTAAGGTCATGGGTAAAGGATCAATTATAATTTCACCAAATATTACTCTTGACTCTGTTTTGTATGTGCCTACACTTGATTGTAACTTGCTGTCCATTAGCAAGATTACAAGAGATTTGAAATGTGTTACTAAATTCTTCCCTAACTTGTGTGAATTTCAGATTTTGGAGTCGGGGAAGACGATTGGCAATGCTGAAGAGTGTGCTGGACTCTACTTCCTCCAAGTGGAAAAATCAGAGAAAAAACTCAATAATAACTATCATGTTGCAGCTGCAGTTTCAAATGATAATAATTCTGTAATGATGTGGCACTATAGATTAGGCCACCCAAATTTCATGTACTTGGAAAAGATTTTTCCCTCGTTATTCAATAAAAACAAGGAACATTTTCAATGTGAAATCTGCCAATTGTCTAAACATACCCGAAACCATTACCCACTCCAATCCTATAAACCATCCAAACCTTTTTCATTAATTCATAGTGATGTATGGGGACCATCACGAGTCCACAACATTACTGGCTCGAGATGGTTTGTCACCTTTATTGATGATCACACACGTGTTACATGGGTGTTTCTAATGAAGGAAAAATCAGAAGTAGGGAGAATATTTGAAATTTATCATAAGATGGTACAAACACAATTTCAAAGCAATATTCAGATACTTAGAACTGACAATGGTCGTGAGTATTACAACCTTGCTCTAAATTCCTACCTTCAAAAGGTTGGAATTGTTCACCAAAGTTCGTGTGTGGACACTCCCCAACAAAATGGAGTAGCAGAAAGGAAGAATAGACACCTTTTGGAAGTGACTAGATCAATCATGTTGGCCACAAATGTCCCACAACACTTTTGGGGAGAAGCTGTCCTTTCAGCAACTCACCTTATAAATCGAATGCCTTCCCGTATCCTTAACTTTAAGACCCCACTCTCCACACTTCAAAACCTATTTCCAACCAGCAAAATCTTTTCCTCTATTCCATTAAAAATATTTGGATGCTCAACTTTTGTCCATAACCTCAACCCTCACCGAAGCAAATTAGACCCAAAATCCATCAAATGCATTTTTCTTGGTTACTCTCCTCACCAAAAGGGTTATAGGTGTTACTCTCCCCATACCAAAAATTTTTACCACACTATGGATGTAACCTTCTTTGAAAATCAGCCCTATTACACCAAAACTGGTATTCAGGGGGAGCAATCATACATACATCGTATTGAAAATTCAGAATACCAACTTTTGCCTCTTGAACTAACCGAACATGAAAAAATCTTACCAGACCAAACCGGTAACACTCAATCAGCCGAACCTATGCCTAAACCAACTGAAAAATTACTAAACCAAACCTCTAACATTCAGCCGAGTGAAAGGACAACAGAAACTGTGACGGAAACCGAACCAATTATAGTCTCAACCACACCTCAACAGAATTGTCATCCAAAAACAGGTAACTAGAAGGTTTATAAAAGGAGGAGGAAGGAAGTAGAGTCAAGTATAGCTCCAATGCAAGGCCATGAGTCCAACCAAGCTCTAAAAAATGAAGCTCTCACCGGTAATATTCTCCCTAACTCTGAACATATTGTTACAAATACAGCAGATATGGATATTCCTATTGCTATGAGAAAAGGGGTTAGAACATGCACCAAACACCCTATTGAAAAATATATCTCCTATGGAAAACTATCACAAAGTTACAGGTCTTTTGTAGCAGCTGTTGACAACATAGAAATTCCAAATAATATTCAAGAAGCATTGCAGAAAGCTGAATGGGCAGCAGCTGTAACAGAAGAAGTTCAAGCACTTGTAAGAAGTGGCACATGGGATATCACTGCTATACCAGAAGGGAAGAAAGCAGTAGGATGCAAGTGGATATTTTCAATTAAGTACAATGCTGATGGGAGTATAAATAGGTACAAAGCTCGGTTGGTTGCTAAGGGGTTTACACAATCATATGGGGTGGATTATGAGGAGACTTTTGCACCTGTTGCGAAGCTCAATTCTGTTCGGGTTCTACTATCTCTGGCAGCAAATCTAGATTGGCCCCTGTACCAACTAGACATAAAGAATGCATTTCTAAATAGTGAGTTAGAAGAAGAGGTATATATGAAAATTCCTCCAGGACTTGAATCACCCGGGACCTCCAACATGGTGTGTCGACTTCGAAAATCTCTATATGGCCTCAAACAATCACCAAGGGCATGGTTTGACAGACTAACAAAAGTTGTCAAACAAGATGGTTTTGTTCAATGTCAAACAGACCATACTATGTTTGTCAAGCACTCTTTGGATGGGAAGATAGCTTTGTTTATTGTCTATGTTGACGATATCGTAATTACGGGAGATGATGATGAACAAGTCAACCAATTAAAGAAACTTCTAGCCAAAGAATTTGAAGTCAAAGACTTAGGACAGCTCAAGTATTTTCTAGGGATGGAAATTGCACGGACAAAGAATGGTATTTCAGTTTCTCAAAGGAAGTACACTTTGGATTTACTTCAAGAAACAGGTATGCTTGGATGCAAAGCTGCCAATACTCCCATAGAACAAATAAAAAGGAGTGAAGATGAGAATATACCAGCTAATAAAGATAGATACCAAAGTCTAGTTGGAAAACTAATCTATCTAACTCACACCAGACCAGACATTGGTTTTGCTGTAAGCATGGCTAGTCGTTATATGTCAAATCCAACTGAAACTAACATGAGAAATGTTAACAGAATTCTCCAGTACCTAAAAGGTACGCCAGGTCGAGGACTCTATTTTCAAAAGAACTCAAACAGAGGTATTGAAGTCTACACTGATTCAGATTGGGCAGGATGTTTATCTGACAGGAAATCGACTACAGGCTACTGCACATTTGTATGGGGTAATATGGTAACTTGGAGAAGCAAGAAACAGTCTGTTGTGGCTAGGAGTAGCGCAGAAGCAGAATTCAGAGCTATGTCACAAGGTATTTGTGAAGGAATTTGGCTTAAGCGAATGCTAGGTGAAATAAAAATTCCTACCAAACATCCTATGAAGATATTATGTGATAACAAGGCTGCTATAAGCATTGCGAAGAACCCAGTTCAGCATGATAGAACAAAGCATGTAGAGATAGACCGACACTTCATCAAGGAGAAAATTGATCATGGAATTATAAGTGTTAACCATATTCCATCATGCCAGCAAACTGCAGATATTCTAACAAAAGCCCTTCCAAGGAACATATATGAGAATATCAGATTCAATCTGGGTATGATAGACATCTACCACCCAGATTGAGGGAGAGTGTGGAATAATCAATACAGAATCAAATGATTCTGTTTGTACAGCTCATTAGGATTAGGACTAATGTAATTAATTAGTTATTATTTCCTGTTTTTACTGTAATTAGAATTAGCATTTATGGGAAAATTAATTCCCCTGATTTCTAGGACAGATTTCCTTTTCAAACTCTGCCTTATGTATTCTATAAATACTGCTATGTAATTCTCATAAAATACAAGGAAATATAAAGTATATTTCTACAGTTTCCCTCAATACTTTGCACTGAACTTCTGCTGCATTAGCCCAGTTTTCTGCATTCGATGCTTTTTCTTTCAGTTCCATGATAAGGTTATCCATGTCTCTAATTTCAGAACACGTAACATTATATTGTTGTTGATATTCATCGGCAGAGGCTTTCACATTCACTAACTGGCATTCAGTTTCTTCTAGCTGCTTCTCAAGTGAACACACCTTGATACTTAAATAGACAGCTTCAGAATCTTCGGCTTTCTTGCTTTCGATTATCTTGTCCAAATTAGCATCTCTACTTTTCAATTGTTGTATACAAGTTTCCAGCTTAGCTGTAAGCTCGGATTCACTTTTTCTTAAACCCGCCAAATTGAACTGAGAAAGTTTGAGTTTAGCCAACAATTCATTTGAAATTCCCTTTAGGATCTCACGGGCGTTGTCTGCTTCAGACCATCTTTCCCAAACTTCAATTGCTTCTTCCTCCATTTGAATTAGCTCGTCTTGTAAAGAAGCAATCCTTTGTTTAAGACTTTCTTCAATTTTCTTCGAGTCGTTGAAATTCTTCTCGAGATCTATTTCATTTGCTAGAGATTTCTCAAGCATCCTCAAAGTTGTTTCCACGTTCATCGTGTTGTTTACATCCAAAACTTGATTATCCTCTTGGACATTTCCACCCTCTTCAACATTACCTGTCAGTCATTGAAAATTCCACAGATAAAAAAGGACAACAAATATTTATTACAACGTAAAATTATTTACACCGACAATCAACCACAACACAACAAAGAATTACATAGCTTCTTTCATTAAAAAAAACATCAAACGTGATGTGGCAAATTGAAGAGTTGTTATCGGATGTCGGTGAAAAATAACTTCGCACTCACAATGCATATTCAGATAAGATCATGAACATATAAAAAAACAAGCAAAGCAATCAATGTGCAAACAAAAACAAAAACTACATGAACAAATTTCAATCATTAAGACCCTCAACTTACCATTCTCTTCCGTCTTATGAGAAGCAAAAAACCTTTGAAAATTAACAGATTGTTTCTTAATCTCGTAAAACTGCTCCTCCGACAGCTTCAAACATCGTTCCAATTCAATCAACCTATCTTGCCAATCCTCAAAAGAAGAAACTCTATCTTTAGCATCAGAAATCCCAGCATGAAGAGTATCCAAAAACAAACCCAAATCTCTAACCTCAGAATCCAACACCCCACATAACAAATCGAATTCAAAACCCTTTATAACACACTCCACGTCCATGTTTTCTTCACCCATAATAACTAAACCCTCAAATTCAGCTTCCAAAGTTTCCAAGTTCATCACAAAAATACTCAAGTTTGAAACTTTCTCAGAGAAACATGCTACACTCAGTTCCAAATCACCAATAACATCTACATTAGCTGAAACCCCTCCAACATTAACATCAACACCACCACTATTATCTTCAGCACTTTGAGTTTCCATTGTTCTAATCTTAAAAAATAAAACTTCAACTATAGTTGTTTAAGAACCTGTAAGAAAACTCAAAAATCAAATGCAAAAAAAAAAAAAAATTGCAAAATTGAATTGAAGAAGAAACAATCAAAATTATGAAAATTGAAGGGAAAGGAATCATACCAATTGAAAATTGTGGAATTTGAAGATGAAAAATTGGGTTGATTTTTCAGACAATGGAAACGGTTGCGATCTAACTGAAAATTGATTCAGAGAACAACAACACTCGCACTTCACTTGAAACGCGTTTTGAGTGCAAAGTGGTGTTTCTTTTGCTTTTGACACGTGTCCCTTTTTTGTTTTTTATTGGAAAAATAAAAATGAAGAGATTTTCATATGTAACCACTAGTAGAAAAGCACGCCAAAATTAATTTATAAGTTTAAATATATATATATATATATATATATATATATATATATATATATATATATATATATATATATATATATAAAATACGATATAAAATGTATTTTGTACGTATTTAAATTTTAAATGAGTTATTAATTTTAAAATAAATAATGATTATATAAATTTAATTGTATTAAAATATAAATAAAATAAAAAGACTCGTGAGATGAAACAAAAAAATTTAATATTTATAATCTATAACTATATATAAAAGGATACACCTTTTTGGTGTGGCCTATTTTTGTTCCACAATTACCCTTCATTAATGTTTTATTTCATATTTTTATTACATCTTTACCCTTTACCTTAATGCTTAATTTCTCACTTGATTTTATTTAATAATACTAATTACTAAATAATAACTGTAACAAATAACTTCCCACTATTTCCATTATCTTTCCTATCATTAACGTTCATACTAACTCCTCTATGCAAAGTGAGTTTCTCTCCAAGCCATTTACAAACTATTTCTCTCAATTTATCAAGCTATTTGCAAATTAATCATATCCCTCTCTCCCTTTCTTTGTCAAACCGTGCATACCTCTATTACTGTATATCAAGGCTCTCAACAAACTCATTTTGATATTATTTTTGTCAGATATTTTTTTAAAAATATAATTGAATGAATTTATTAAACATTCATCGCATCTTTGTTATAGGCACTTAATGATATATATTTGTTATAGACACTTGTGGTGGTTGTTCGGAACAAGAAACGTGTCAGTTTCACATATGAATTGTCCTTAAAAGTGAAATGTGAGTATGTACTTTATTTTGTTGTCTTGCTTTTCTGTTTAACTGTTTTGCAAGTCATGTTTTGCAAATGGATATAGGCGAATGGATTATACAAGGGAATAAGATGTTGGTTGGGGGCATATAGATGTTCCAGAGATCTCATATAATATAGTTCCACTTAGCCTTCATGTAATGTCTTCTTAAAGTCTGTAACATTCAGGGAGGTTACAAATAGAGAGTTTTAAGATATGGTTATACTAATTGTGTATGATAGATCACTATCTAAATGTTAATTTTTAATTCTTAATTATCCAAATAAAATTATAAACAACTTCATGTTTATACGGTTTCACTGCTAATTGTCAGTTCATAGTTATCATTATCATTTAACATAAATCATAATTATAGTCCAATAAGCTTTAAGTCTATTAACAAATAGAGGCATATATGTTTTAAATCAAAATCCAGTGTAAATCAAATTAACTCCAAGTTAAATTTCTGTAAAAAAAAATTAGTCATAACACATCCAATAAAGCGAATGGAATGAACATCTGTTACAAAACATAAACTAAAATTTAACATAAAACAAAAACTAATTGAATGCGGGAGAGAAGTTGTAAGTACGGTTACTGAGTTTTGGATTTTATTATTTTGTTTTGTTTGTAATTGCAATGCCACGTGTTGGGTTTTCATTAGCTTTTATTTTGTTTTGAAAAAGTAAAAAAAAAAATTAATTAATTGAAATTCTTTATTTTTATAAATCTATAACTATATATAAAGGGGATACAAGTTTTTGGTGTGGCCTATTTTTGTTCCAAAATTACCCTTCATTGTTTTTTTAAATAACTTTAATTGTTGGTTACCAATTAAAAAAATAACTTCCCTCTCTCACAAAAAACATCACATTTATAACTTCTATTAATTGTTTTGTTTTGACACTAAGTTTATCTTCATTGTTAAAAATCATCTTTTATTTCTATCTCCATTGTTAATACTAGGTTTATCCATACAATCAAACATCAAATCCATATAAGGAACCAACTCAGGTATTTCCTCAAAACTACAATAAACCCCAAACACTACACATAGTCCTATTGAATAACTTCCCTCATTTGAAATTTTTTGCTTCATTTTTATCCGTCACTTTTCCTTCTCATATGATAGCAACCGATGAGGAAAAGACCTTACCAACAAAACTTGCATGTACAATAGAATTTCAAGCAGCAAATTTGAAGGAAAAAAAAGTAATATCCATTATAATTTTTTTGATTCTTTATGTTTGACTATGGAATAATTTATCTCAAATTTACAATTATATTGTTATTGTAGATTTCATGCATGCTTGATTCGTATAGTTTTAGTTTTTGTTGTTCATCACTTATTTCATATAGTTAAGAATAATTTGTGTTCAAATGAATTATTTAGAACATTGTTTTGATGTTATTTTACTCTACTTTTAAAATAATTTGTATTCATTATCTTGGTGGGAACAATGTTTGGTCAAGCTTATGATCTCTTAGGTCGAACTCTAGATTACTAGGACCCCTGATCATCTCTAAAGGACAATTCTTCTCTCTTTTCATTTCTTTTTCAATCATCATCTTTTTTTTTCTTCAAGTTATCGTTTTCCATTGCATATACTTATTTTTTATTTATTTTAATTTCGATTATAATTAGTGATGTCGTGGTAAATTTTTTGTTTCTAATCTTTCTTCTTTGATGTTTGATTATAATTGAATTAGTTGTCATTTAAATTTACATATTTTGTTAATCTGTATTATAAGTGGGAAGATTTTATTCATTGGAATAGGTATACACAATTATGTACAATGACAATTACAACATTAAATAAGTCACATATCTATTTGCTTGAGTAACTTTCCACTCATTCAACTTATATATACAAAATAAAACACATAAAAAATAGGGATAACATAATTTCAGTAATATATTCTTTCTTTTCATAAGGATAATTGATCTGACCTGATCAGAAGGGGATCACGATATGACCACGCGCTACTGGACGGCTACCTGTTCACCGGGGGTGAGAAGGAGGAGGGGGATGTACCTGCAAGACACTCTGATGCCAAGGTAAGAAGCTGGGCAGAGTGGAAGCAACAGTACCGAAAGGGGCAAGAAGAGTTACCTGACCCTCTTGAGGAAGAGGGTATTTATAGAGAGACCCCAGCGCTGGGCCAACGGTCATTTGAGATGGGCTGGATGACCAGGCCCAACCCTAATGACTGCTAGGGCTTACGTGGCGTAGTGAAGACCAGGACGTGGTCTTCGCCCTAGTCCAACTGCTCCTAGATCTCCGGAAAGTGGGTTTGACCTGCTCTTTCGGAGGCGGGCAGTTGGTTGATGACGTGTCCCACGGAGGGGAGGCGTGGAGAACATGCGCCGGGCACGTTGTTCTCCCCGCGGAGGGGAGCTCGCGAGGTACTCCGGAACGCGTTGTTCTCCTCGCGGAGGGGATGGACCATGGCCGCGCTGTGGTGAGCCGGGGACGGTTCTGCTCGTCTGGCGTGGTGGTTGATGAAGGGTTGTTGGGACGTTGCTTGTGTTCGGCGGCCTGCCCTGCTCGTCTTGAGGGACGCACGTGCTCGGCGTGCTCGATTTGCTTGTTGGGCCGCACGCGGTATTGGGCCTGCCGAGGTTGGGCCCATACCGGAACAGGAGCCCCCCAAGTCGAAGCTCTGGGGAGAGAGCGAGGACTTAAGGTTGCTGCGTCTGGAACGGGCACTCGTGCGAAGATCTCCGGTCGTCGGCAGAGCGGGGAGAAGGCAGGTGAGGGGACGCGACTGTCAGGTTGCCGCCACGTGTCTTGCGTTAAGCGGTCGTAGGGGCGGCTACCCTATGTCATTAATGAGCCTAGGGTCGCTTCGAGTCCCGCGCCGGGTTATAAATATGGGGGTCCCCGCTAATTTTGCTACTTTTCCCTCTGCCGTTGAGTCTGCTAAGCTTTGTCATCCCTGCTCGTCCGCCGCTTGCCGCCGATCGCCGCCGCACCGTTTGATCTTCCCTTCCGTCCGCCGCCGTTACAAGTGAGTTCTTCTTTTCCCTCCCTTTTTATTTCCGTCGTTCAATTGGAATGTGTGGTCGGGGCATGGTGAATGCCCCGAGGAGGGACGCGAGACCCACCGTGTCTGGCGACTTTTCTGATGAGTGTCCCGGGGAAGATAGGCTAGTTCCGATGAATGTCCCGAGGACGGGAGCTTTTTCTTATGAATGCCCCGAGGACGGGGGCTTTCTCCGATGAATGCCCCGGGGATAAGTACCTTCTCCGATGGCTGTCCCGAGGGGGAATGGGGGATCGGCCTTTGATCCCCCGAGGAGCGTAGACGAGGAGCGAGTGTTTGCTCGTCGCTTCCCGGCCTTGGTCGCCCTTTCACTTGACTTGCGGTGGAAGGGTGGATTTGATCCTGGCTATCGAATTCACCGTTGTCCTCTGCTTTCAGGTGTAGATGTCGGCTCTGGTGTCGGGGATAATGGTCGAAGACAATGAACCTGAGATCCCGGAGTATGACGATGAGCGTATCGCCCCGTCCGAGGAGTGGGCGGCCGAGGAGCCGCTTTCTACTCCTTCTTGTTTCGTGGCCAATGCATCCGACGTGTACGCCACGGTTGAGGACACGCCTATAGGAGAGCCACAACACTGGCAGGTGTACCGACCAAAAGGACATCACCGTATCTGCTCGCGCTATGGGCGGCGGATGTTCCCGATGCATGAATTCTACTTTAAAGAAGCTCGGCTCCGGTTACCTTTCTCCGCCTTCCATCTGGGGCTTTTTGACTGGCTGCGACTTGCCCCGTCCCAACTGCACCC